GGGCTCGAATCGGTCTAACTTGGCTCCGCGGAGCCAGCGCGTCCCGTGTGCCCGCGCCCGGGGGTGCGGGGCAGTGCGCGTTGCTTCCCTTGCAGAGGCTTTGGGTACAGGATCGTTATCCTGGCTTTGTGCCCCATTCTTTACAAACTTGCGGTGACAGCGCAGCCATCCAAGCGGGGTGTGAGCCGCTCAGGGGACTGTGCTTAGTGTGTGTGAGGACCAATAGTTGCTGCAAGAGAGACGACGTTCAGCGAGGTGTTGTGCCGGGCTGCCGCGGCTGGGACAGCGAAGGGTAATGCTTTGGGTACAGGATCGTTATCCTGGCTTTGTGCCCCATTCTTTACAAACTTGCGGTGACAGCGCAGCCATCCAAGCGGGGTGTGAGCCGCTCAGGGGACTGTGCTTAGTGTGTGTGAGGACCAATAGTTGCTGCAAGAGAGACGACGTTCAGCGAGGTGTTGTGCCGGGCTGCCGCGGCTGGGACAGCGAAGGGTAATGACAGGAACCCGCATGGGCGTGTGGCTGCTGGCCTGGGGCGCCGCTGGGCCTCTGGGACCCCTCCTGCCGTGTAACAAAGCTGCGTGGAAAAACTTACCGCTTGGCTTCCTTGGGCTATTTTTATTTGGCATTAATGCTGTCAAAATAAAATTTTAATGCACAACAGAGTACCTATTTCAGGAGTAGAAAGGAATTCGGGGAAGGAAAAAACCCCACCATATTTACAATGGCCTTCGATTGATGAGTTAAACCTCAATAGCCAGTAACAAAGAGGCAACTTTTAGTAGTTAATAGTTTCAGGTTATACATATACACTTCTACAGAGTGATAAATAAGAATCTTCTAAAAATGCAGTTGTTTTCCTCAGTGGCATGAAGAAATGAGGAATGGTTTGTTTTATGAAAATGACTTGGGGAATCTCGAATAGAAATTTAGAAAGCACTTAAAAAGTACTCCAAAGTCTGATTTTTATTGTTTACACTGAATGTAAGCATATGTAGTCTTTTTGTTGTCTTTAATGTTTTTATCACCTTATCTGTAGCAAAAAGATGTTAGTAGTATTAAAGAAAAATGATGTGTGTTATGTTGGTTTTAGGGCTTTAAATGCCTAGTCAGATGTGGAAGTTCAGAGCAAAACCATTTTGTTCTGTTCTGATGTTGCTGCTATTGTTTCTATTTATTGTGCTAATAAATAAATATTCCTTCCACAATGCAAATTTATACCTCAAGAAGTAGTCAGCTGCCTTTGAAGAGGTTTATTTGTCCCATGTTTTAACATGTCTCTTCAGGTTTTTTTCTGGCTGCTGCTTTGCCCTTTCCTGTCAGCAATTTAGGTTAACACTTCAAATATAAGAAGGTGAAGTTTGCTAAGCAGGATGACTTAACATACTTCAGTTTTAGTGAATTTTTGGAAACAGCAATCTCTTTGTTCATAAAATCCATCAAGCTGTTATTTTTGTCTGAGTGGGGTGAAGCCAAGCACTTGTTGAAAAATTGAATGGCTGAGTATGGCACAGGTATCCTTGTGCTTGTAATCTACACATGGCTTGGCATTACTCCCTGGTGACGTAGTCACATGGTGGCAGTTTTGCGCTGTTGTTTGTGCTGTTTCAGAAGATCTTAAAATGGATTAAATATTTTCTGGGGACTACTTTTTTCATTCTAGAAATTCTGTACTTTTATGAGGATAGTTGATCACTAGCTGTGGAAGTGTTCAAGGCCTTGAAGGGTAGGGAAAGTGTTTATGAAACAGTGTCTCTGAAGTTACCTATGGCCTAAGCTACCTCTGCTACAAGTTACACAGCCTGCAGCAGTAAAATGCTGTGTCTCTCCCTAGTGACTATTGATCAGAATAGCCAGATCTGCTGTACTGGCTTTTAAGTTCTTCAGAACTACAGTTGCAATAGGGGAGCTGCAAATTTTGCCTAGCTGGTTGAAAGCTGAGTAAACGCCTTGCACAGTCAGCAGTGGCAGGTAGAGAACTTCTCTTAGAAAGTGGAACAAAAGAGAACTGAAGCCACTTGCCAGATTTTCAGAATTACCTTTAAATAACAGCAACAAAACCAAGTTAAAAACCCCTTCTTATACTAATGAAGTATATTTTCCAGTTGTGAAATAACTGCTTTGAGTTTTTCCTCCCTGTTCCTCCCCTCAAGTCTCTACATAATTTGTGTGCTGCAGTTCTGTTGAAAGCTTGTCTGAACTGCAACATCAGAGAGATAAGGCCGATCACATTCACCGGAGCTGTGCTGTTGGTAGTAAATCTGGAAAAAATGTGTCCTTCACTTTTTGTTGCTGTTCAGTGGAGTAAGCATTGATAGGCTTTACACAGTGGTCACGGATGGAGGGGAGGAAAAAGAGTCCTTTTCTCAGCATGTATACAATCTTTATATTAGTCTCATGTTCACAGTATGCTACATAGAAATAAGTTTCTCATCTGGGTCTTCTAAGATGCCTAGTTATTATTTTTTTGTTTGTTAGTTTTAAGTTATGTCATGTTGCCTCTTCATTCCAAAATTCAGCTGAAGTCTTTCAGGGCTTGCTGTGATGGTGGTGGTGATTAAAAGTGATAATGAGAGCTTGCAAAGTTCAAGTTGCTCTTTTTTTTTTTTTTTTTTTTTCTTCTTTTTAATCTAGAGATTCACTGTGTGTTTTTAACTATATTTTAAAAATGTTGGATGAAGAAAAACCACCAGACAACAAACTTGGCACTTATAAAGATTAATACAGAAGCTATGGCTGCTGACTGACACAAATTAAATATTGCATCACATGTAGTTTTAATAGTGTTAGTGTCTGGCTGCTCCTTATAGTAGACATGGTAATGAGGACTTAATTGAGTTGTTTTATCTTCATCCAGTACAGGTTATCACATTCATATGCAATTGTGTTGCAGTTTTATCATGTTTCATGTAATAATGTAGTGAACTGTGGTTTTTCAGTTTGTAAACAGCGGACAATTACCACTTGGTTGGAGAATAAAGGACCCAAGACAACTGAGTGCAAAAGGTAAAACGTACAGCACACCTCTTCAAACGTTACGTTCTTTGAGTGGGGCTGTGGGGAACTGAAAGTGCAGGTTGCCCGTACAGCTAACTACTGAAAAAGGCAACCCCATTTCTGCTGCTCTCCTTACCTTGGCACATCCTCTCGAGTACAGCTAGCTGACAGGCTTTCACTACAAAAACCTGACTAGTGCCCCACCTCTCTCCCCCCAGAATAAACTTTTTTGCTGACTTGGCCTCCTGAAGCAACCTGCTGTTTAGGTGAACAGCAAAGAAAAAGAGGGTGTGTGTAGTGAGGGATGGCAAAGTGGGACTGCTGCTTCCAGTGGCAGCCAACCATTCGATCAAGTTAACTGCAATATCAGACTGTGTCCTTAGTCAACAGCTCTGCTTTCATTTTGGTTTAACGCAGGGCAATAATAGTTAGAAATTTTGGCTGATGGTCCTGCGTTCAACTCGCAGTTCTGCTGTTAATTTACAGATGAAAGTGTGTTTTGGTTAATTTCATTGGACTGTGATTGTAGAATAAGCATGTGCAACTTGATATAATTTGTAGCAGAATTTGCAGGTGCTCAAATGTGCATTCAAGTTATTTTGTGAGAGATGTTATAAAAGTTTTAACGTTGAACGGCGCCATGTAAAGTTTGATTATATTTTCTACTAATCTAGTCTGTCAGGAGCGATGTTTGAAAGGCAGCATTAAAATTGAACTCCTAAGAATTTAACTGTCTGCTGCAAAGGAATATCAGATATTACTTTTCTATAATCACAATAGTAAGTGTGCTGGTTTATTTTTCATTGATGTTTGTTAATAATTAGAAGTTGAAATCCATAGCAGTGCTACAATGTTCAACGAAAGCCAGGAAAAGTTGTGATAATGGTTAATGCAGAAGTACAGAGGGCTCAATTACAGGCTCATGGGTTGCAGTAAAGCAAAGATGTTAAGCAGACGCTTGAGGACAGAGTAAATAATCTTTTCAGATTCTCTTTAGAGTATTGCTTTTATATGCCCCCCTCCAGCCCCACTGACAGATTACAGCCTGGTCAGTTTTAAGCAGAAAGTCATGTAAACACTTCATGTGTCTATTGCTATTAACATCGTAATTTTAATTTATTCATTTCAGATTTGATTTCTCATTTTAAATTGACAGCATCTGCTGTCAATAACTGTGAACAGCCACTTATTGAGATGGCAGCAGTAACATTTTCATATTTGTTCATTAAAATTTTCAGTGCTGTAATAAATGGGGGATGTAAATTATCAAAACATATAAGCCTCTAAAAATTTTTTTTTTTTTTTTCAAATAATATTCCTGTGGGTGAAGTTCCAATCTGTCATCTGTTGCTTTGAACCCCTTTATTTTTTTTTCTCCTATTTGTTCTGCACTGGTAAGGATGTGAATGCTATCTCTTTATCTAGAGTGCTCTTTTAGAAGAGGATCTGTTATCCTTCATAGCGAGAATGCATACATTCAGGAATTTATTGTGTTCAGTTGTGGAATTTAGGATTGTGTGAAAATTTGATATTTTCCTGTTTATTGTAATGGGAAACTGGGCAATGACCAGACGTAGGAAGTCTAACATGCTTAGTTTGCATTGGTTATATACAATATTGCAACAATACATTCAGGAGAAAGTGTTGTTCAGAGTGATACATTCACCAAGACTAGTCTGTTGTGGGGTTTTTTTTAATATTCACGTGACATCTAAGTATTTTTCATTATCAATACACTGACACAAAAATTAGTGTGTAAGTGTGAAATGACTTTCCAATGTCATCTTGAGAAGTCTCAGCTGGTCATACAAAACTTGCTTCATTTCCCTGTGTGAGACATTCCTTTCCATTCTTTGTGTAAGACAGCACAGGACAAATTAGGTTATTTGTCTCTTTAAAAATAATTGATCTAATGTATCTTTTATTTTTTGTTGTCAGTTCTAAATATACTTTTACACTGTTGCATTGTGAATTTTTTGAAGAGTCATGACCTTCTTATAAAAGTAAGCAAGTAATAGAGTGTTTTTGAGACTGTGACTACTGTGTCCTGCTCTTTTAAGAGATGAATTTGTAGCTCTTGGGGAAGTGGCTACAACCTATTGATTTCCTTGCTCACTGTATTTAGCTGATTAAAAGTTAAGGAGGACTTGATCATGACTACTAATTTTTTTTCATCCAGAGAAAATAACTAAATAATAGGTTAATACTATTTGATTTGAAAATAAGGATAATGAATCACTGGAATAGATTTCTAAGGTAAGAATCTGATTTATCATCCTTTGAAGCCTTTCAATGGAAATAGACTTCTACAGATCTACATTCCCCGGTGCAGTAAAACTTGTTGATCCTGGCAGTGCTCGCTTACAAAGTGTAATGGATAAAATTCTGTAGTTCCTGTTGTATGTTTATAATGATTCCTGTTTAAAAAAAATCTATGTATACAGAAATTTAATTTGGAGGTAAGACATTAAATCCTCTTACTTCTCTCTTCTACAGCTTACACAGCAAAATTAATAACAATATTGAAGCAAATCCCAAGATGACTTCCATTAAAAAAGAGAACTTTTGTGAGCATGATGTGAAAAAGCTAGACAATATTTGTCAGCAAAATTATTCAAAAATACCTGTGGAAGTTGGTGCAAAGCACGTAACTTTCCCTCAGACAGGCAGCATGTGTAACTGGGAGGCTGAGGACAAAGATCCAGTCTTAGATACAGAGCCTGTGAAGGGGATGCAGTCTGGAGACGTCTTTAAAAACGCCAACATCGACCAGATGCACAAAACTGGCAAGCAGGCTCAGAGGGGCTGTGAAGAAAGCGGTGACAATTGGACTCAGAGGAAATTATCATCAGGCCGGTCTTTGAAAATGGGAAATACAAAACTTTCTTCAAAAGACATGGAGACAGATGGACAAGCAGCTTCATGCAATTCCCAGAAGCTGGAGAGCTGCAATTCTGTCTGTTTAACGGGTGAACAAGAAGAAGCAGATGTAGTTCCGGAAAGTCCACTTTCAGACGCTGGTTGTGATGCTTGTATGTCTGATCTTAGAGGTCCTAGGAAACTGAGCAAGTGTCGGAGCAGTTCAGGGGATTCACCGGCTTTTGAGAAAGAAAGTGAACCGGAGTCACCGATGGATGTAGATAATTCTAAAAATAGCTGCCATGGGTCAGAGGCCGATGAAGAAACGAGTCCATTTCTTGATGAGCGAGAGGAGATTAATACATCAAAATCTGTAAACAAATCTTTTAGAATTCAATATGGGGATGCTGAACTGGAGTCAAGAAAGTCACATTTTTCTGCCAAGGGTTGTGAAAGCTTTGAGGAAATAGATAATTCTGTTAAAGAGGATAGTCTGCGTACAAAGTCACCTGGGATCTCTCCTGCTCCAGCATCAGAATGCAAAGGTGCAAAACAGGGTGTGAAGAGAGACTCCAAAATCACCTCTCACTTCATGAGGATACCTAAAATTGAAGAGAAAAGGTAGCGTTCTGTCTGCTTCTTCATCTGTTTTTTCATGCTTGAAAATTTCCTCTGGTGGTAGCAGTTTGGAGGCTGGGTTGTATGAAGAGTTTTTCAAAATGTATGTTAAGACACAAGGACAACTTTGGTGTAAGCTTGAAGTAACTTATTTTTAGTGAGACTACTTGTGGTTTGTTTTTTTTTTTAAAGTGATATGTTTGTCCAGTGCAATTTTTAAATCATTGGAGATCTGTGAAAATTGGTAATTAAACACACTGTAGGAAGTTGACTTTCTTTATCCAAGAAATGATTTAAGGCCATGGGATTTTTAATGCTTGAATATGAATGGTGGTACAGGAGTGCTTTGTAGAGTGTAGCTCTAGCATTCATTATTTCATTCAGAATACTCAAGGAAACTTATGTTATCATGGTTTTTTTGTTGGTTTTTTTTTTTTTAATTTCATCTTTCAAACATACTGAATCTGTTTTGCTGATATAGACATGAAATAGACATGAAAGTTGTAGAGGTGTGTGTGAGTGGGAGAGTTTTTTGTTTGTTTTGTTGTGGGTTTTTTGTTTGTTTTTTTGTTTGGGTTTTTTTTCCTTTATTCATAACTTGGGAGAGTGAAGGACTGGTGATTACACACTAGAGCCATGGAAATAGCAGCCCTGAGCATCACTCCAGGCTCTGTAAGCTAGGTGTTGTGTAGGGACAAAAGAATAATCTCTTCTTTGAAGAGCTTGGATTTCAGTGGGGGCTGAGGAAGTGAATAAACAGCAAAGGAGTAAGCAGAAAAAAGAGAACTGTGTATGTTGGTGTAATAAGCAATTATCTCAGTAGACTCAAGTCCTTAAAGTAGGACAAGAAAGTAGTTTTGCACATCTTTCCTGGGACAAGGTCCTTTCTGGATGTGCAAAGCAGCACAAATCATACTTTTCAAGGAAATGAAGAAGAGGGTGACAGAGGAAATAAGGTGGTTCTTAGGAAAAATGAATGGATGATGAATTTGCTAAAAAAGTATGGAAAAGGGGCTAATGAAGTTTAAAATTACGGGTTTGGGGAGTACTCTTTTTGCTAATTTAAATGAATTGCTGTTGTAGCAAAGCAGCAGAGGTTGAGGCTTGCATTTGTTAGTGGTAGAGCATCGTGTGTTACAATAAATCCGTGTTTAAGAAGGGAAACTCATGCATAAGTTTTTTCTGCGTGGATCAATGGGAGTCCTAGCAGTGCTTCACTGAATAATTAGTGAGGTAGAATGTGAGGCTGTAGAGAGATTATTTTTTTTCTTTTTTGAGACCTAAACAGGTGGTGTGAAGGTTATAAACCTCAGTGCCTGGCAAAATAGTGGTTTTGCCTATAGTGCTTAAGAGGGCAATAAGGAAATCTTAAAGCTTTCCTCCTGCTTTTTGTTAGACCAGGTCTGCAGCAGGTAATAGCTCAGATCTTAATCTGTGGAAGAAGAAGCAGGAGTGTCTCAAGCAGATTTTGGTCATCAGTAATGCTGTGCCAGATTATCCTTTGGCTCCCAGATGAGCCCAGTGGGTCTGTACCCAGCATCCTGCCGACATGGCTACACCATTTGTGTGTGATCAGCCAGGCTGGAGGCATTGTCTGCACCTGAAGATACTGGCATATGCAGAGACACAGCAAACAGGTTGGACAACTCTTTATCTGAGGGTGGAGCAAGTTCGCTAAGGGAAACTAAACAGCACCTGAAAAGTGTAGGCTTCTAACTTGTTTTGCATTTTACTCTGAGAACTTTCTCTTACATCTGGTCTATTGCATGAAACATACAACAGGTTCAGGTTTTCCTTCCCCAGAATATCTCAGATCAATGCAAATATCTTTGACCATTAAAGAGGTTTAGTTCATCTACTCTTGCATATATTGGAATTTTGTAAGTGTTTCTCGAATTACTTTTCCGTGGCAAGTATTGTATGCCTGACATGAAAAGTACAAACCTAGTGCGAAGGGGTGGTTAAGAAGTTTGGGGTGGGGTTTTTTTTGTTGGTCTTTTTGTTTGAAGGAGGAATATATGCATCTGTGCGTGCATATGCATTTGTTTTCCAAGGCTTGAGAAGGGGCAGTAGAGGGTATCCTGACAAATGCAGACCAATGAGTCTGTCTCCCTGGATGAACAGATCCAGTTAGGGAAATAGTGTGACTCTGCAGAGGAAAAAACCCTGCCTTGCAGTTCTGTGAAGGTGTTTGTAAGCCTGTAGAGAAGTGTTCTGGTAGACATCATGTACTTGTGTGTTTTGTGGGGGAGGAGGTTGGTGGTGGTAGGGCTTTTCCCCAAATAAAGCTTTGGCCTGGGGCCACAGCAAAGGCTGGCAAATACATTGACTCTGTTACAAATGTAACCCTGGAGTGGAAGTTCGTGTATTTCCCTACCAGGCTTTTCAGTGGAGGCAAATTGTTTCAAAGTATTTTGTTTTAACAACAGGAAAGAAAAGTGTGAATTCAAAGCCCAGAGGCCAGGAAGGAAGACTCCTAAATATATCCCACCTCCTCTTCCCACTAACAAGAAGTGGTTTGGGACACCGATCGAAGAGATGAGAAGGATGCCAATGTGCGCGGCCCGTCTTCCTCATCTGCGACCCTCAGCCAATCATACAGTAACCGTCAGAGTACGATAATTCACTGTATTACCCAAAGTAAAATGTCTTACTGGATTGTTCAGTAATATCAAATGCCAAATGTTAGTCCTACAGTGTTAGCAGATTGTGGAAAGCTTTCTTTGCCATTCCTTGCGAGCTGACTGGGGCAACTGATTTCCCTGGAAATTTACTTTTCTGATGCACAGAATTAATTGTAATGTAGTTATGGTTTTGCTGCCTCTGGCTTGTTAGGGACAAGTCTTTTTCTTTTGCATAGGGGTGCATGTACTTCCTTGTCTGAGTTATAAACTGTGGGAATTTAAATATGTCTGCAAGTCAAGTTTGTATGTCAACATTTTCATGTTATATTTTCATTTTAATATGATGCTGTTTTGGGATCAAGATATACAAAATGCTCAAGATATTAGAGATATGAAAAAGACAAAGAATAAAGCAGAGTTTCTAGTTATTTTATCACTGCATTTTAGATCAAATCTAATATATTTGCCTTTATTCCTTTAGAGTAATATGCAGTGAAAGTATTGTTGAAATAAAACATGTGACCAGAAACCTGTAGTGTCATGGATAAATCCCAAACAAAAGAAAAGCAATTAAGTTCAAATGCAAGTTCTGAGAGAATCCATGCTGTGAGAAGGCTCTATAGCAGATTGAGTCTTTAAGAATATTGTGTTATTTATTTTTATGTTTCTGATATTCTGTGCAGTAAACTTGAAATATTGCTGGATCTATAATGATTTCTTATCCTCTTCAGTGTTGGGTTAAAAAAAATGGTAGTTCTGCACACAAGTATGGTTACATTTGCAACTACATTTTGAAAATATTTGGATGAAACTGTAGATACTTAAATTCATAAATGAATGAGTCTTTAGCTGATAGTTGGACATAAAATAATTGCATATATTACCTTTATTTCGGTGTGTTTCAAGAGGTCAAATGATATGTGGTGTTCTTTTCAGCAAGTATAAAGTAATAGTAACAGATGGATTTTATCCTGACTGAATATTCATCATGTGGTCAGTTTGTAGTTTTCCAAAAAGATGGCTGTAGATTAGAGCTTCTTTAAACTATGTTTTTGCTTACTTTTTATTTCTTCCGTTTAAAAACTTGAAGATAGAGTCTGAGCTTTTTTCTTCCTCCTTCTGTGTTGCAGGTAGATCTTCTAAGGGAAGGAGAAGTGCCTAAACCTTTTCCAACTCACTACAAAGATTTGTGGGACAACAAACATGTTAAAATGCCCTGCTCAGAACAAAACTTATACCCTGTAGAGGATGAGGTAGGATAAAGTATTTACCATTGTGTAATCAAATAAATTTGTTTACATAGACATGAATTTTCAGTTTACTGCATTTGCTCAGTTGACAAGCTGTGTGTATGGAATTGGAAAATCAAGTAAATGAACTTAACTGGTCTGAAAAGTGGGATTCTGTGTTGTGATGCTTCAGGCAGGGCAGGTGGTTTTTTTTTTCTTTCCCCCCCCCCGACTGGTAATGATTTTACCTAGCCATTGATTTGATGGTGTATATATTTCTGTACCTATAAGGAGTGTAAGCTTATACTCCATATAAGTGATACATTTATGTATTTAGAGTTTGTTTTGGTTTGTTTTTTTGTGAAGCATTTTGGGATGCCAACAAATGGGAATGAATTTGTAACTGCATTTTAATTATAATATTCTGTCAATTAGTACTGACAGAGTGAGTCGTATCTGGTTGCTGTTCTGCTAAAACAATGGCAGAGGATTAGAGTTGACTCTGCATGGTTGTTGATCTGGTGTTTCTTGTCACTGCTTGAGACTTACCTAAATATACCCACTGAAATACTTTAAACTCTGGTGAATAAAATCAGTAAGTATGTTCCATAGTGAAGACTGTATAATGATTATTGATACTTGAATCTGGAACAGAGGATTTTTATAGCCTCTAGGAAATACTCTGTCTTTTCATTTATCAGTATTACAGATACAGTAGCAAAAGAATTCAATGGCTGTTTTGGAGATAACGTGTTGGTAAGATCTTTTTTGCCAACTGAGCAAGATGAGTTGTCTCTGCCCTTGTTGTAGTCTCATAAGAAATATCATTATTGCTTGTCACGGGCAAAAGGATGTTGAGGAAAAATATCACGGGTTGTCTTAAATTTAGATTGATGTAAGAGTCAGACACAGCGATATGTTTTTATAATCTATGGCCTTAATATTCTTAATACCACATTTTTATAAAGCTAGTTCAGTTTATATTTTTGAGTTGTGGATTTTATGAACTGTGGTCATGTTTTATCTGCAAAATGCACTTTCTTCACGAGGAATGTACTGAACATTATTTGTCCTTGAGATGGCATGTGGAAGAGTGCTGTATATGTGAAAGAGCTCTTTATGAATTTTCTGAATGCTTCAATTAAAAAGGAACTTTTAAGGGAGTAAAATGCAGTGGACTCTAAGTTGCATAAGTACTTAACAGTTACTTGAAATATGTGGTTTATTTTTAAAGACCTTCGCAAATAAAGAAACTTTATTTTAAAGAAAATGTGGCAAGGAAGACAATTAGTAAATATGTCTTTCTGTTTTGAATAACTTAATCTGACTTTGTTTTGGGCTTTTGTTTTAAAGAATGGAGATAGAACTGCTGGAAGTCGGTGGGAACTAATCCAAACTGTCTTACTTAACAAATTTACTTGCTCGCATGATTTGAAGGTAAGCTCATCAATTTAAAATCAAGTCTATATACATATAAGTACATACAGGTTTTCCGTGTACTGTTAGTGATTCTGGCTCAGTCCTGTTTGTTTAATCACTTATAAAAATAAATTTTTAAATTACTTAATGAGTCTTAAGTGTTACCACTGAATTTATTAGGTATTGTTAAAGTGAATTGTCTCTTAGAAGTCTACACAAAACTGTGTTTGTCCAGGAGTATCCACTAGTTTGTGGTAAATGTGGCAGGTAGGCTTTTCGTATAACCAGGTGATGGGGTGCTGCGGAGGTGAGGGAGTTCGAAACAGTAGCTGTTCACAGCAGTATACTGCACTAAAATGGCAACAATTTGAGCTGCTGAAAAAGATCTGTAAATTTTGGAGACTAATGCTCTATTGATAACTCTTACAGTTCTTGTTGGCTTTTAATGACTTGTGATTTGGAGCAGATTAGAATTGCTATTATGTTTTTTGTGAAGAATAATACCTGAAAGACATGGAAGGAGGAGGATGCAAAAGCTACACATAAACTTTAAATGAATAAGTAGTGCTTCCCCAGCAACCAATGAAACTTCCCTTGATAATACTATTTTATTTGGTATTTTTCTTGAGAATTTTTTAAAGGTGGTTGTTATTGTAATAGGTCTATTTAATTTTGTTGTGGTTCTGATTCTTTTAAGTTCCTAAACTAGTAAAAACTTCTGCTGTATTGCTGAGGGACACCTGTTTTGGTATTTTTAAAGAGAGCAAGCATAGGGTAGGGAATGTTGGTGTTGTGTGTTGTAGGCAGATCCAAGCGTGCCTTGTCTGGTTTTGTGCTAGGAGCTTACTCAATGCTAAACCTAAAATACAGGATTCAGTATCATGGAGCCACACCACATAAACACCGTTCTATGGATTTTGGTCAGCTCTGTAACAGATTTTATCCACTAGAGGGTACTGTTCCTTCAAAAACGACATTTCATAAAATTGTTTTTCTTCTG